CACCATCATCATCATCGTCATCGCCGTCGTCATCATCATCGTCATCATCATCATCATCATCACCATTCGCATCATCATCATCAGCATCTTCCTCATCATCGTCATCATCGTCGTCGTCATCATCCTCGCCATCATCACCATCATCAGCATCTTCCTCATCATCGTCATCCTCGACATCATCATCATCGTCATCGTCATCGTCATCATCCTCACCACCATCACCATCATCATCATCACCATCACCATCACCATCATCGTCGTCGTCGTCATCATCATCATCATCATCATCATCATCATCATCATCATCATCATCATCATCATCATCATCATCAGTATCATCGTCATCATTATCATCGCCATCCCCAGGAGGCCTCAGAGGCGCTCCAGGAGGCGCCAGAGGCGTTCCAGGAAGCCCAAAACGCTCTCCAGGAGGCCCCAGAGTCGCTCCAGGAGGCCCAAGACGCGCTCCAGGAGGCCGCAGAGGCGCTCCAGGAGGCCCAAGACGCGCTCAAGGAGGCCCAAGACGCTCTCCATGAAGCCCGAGATACTCGCCAGGAGGTCCCACAGGCTCCCCAGGAGGCCCTAGAGGCGCTCCAGGAGGCGGTAGAGGCCCTCCACGAAGCCCAAAACGCTCTCGAGGTTCTCCTGTGTTGCTCTGTTGCTGTTGATGGGGGGGGGTCGGCCGGGCGCCAGTGAGTGTTTTCGTCAACAACAACAACAACAACAACAACAACAACAACAACACCAACAACAAATACTACAACAACAACAACAACAACAACAACAACAACAGCAACAGCAACAGCAACAGCAACAACAACAACAACAACAACAACAACAACAACAACAACAACAACAACATATGCGAAAACAACGTCGATCTTGGAATTGGGAAAAATAGGAAGAACCAACATACAAGAACAAACGTCCCCAGCGTTTTGAACAGCAGCAAAAGGTAGAAATGAGGGGTCCCGATAGTGTTGCAATGCTGGAACCCAGGCAAAGGGAGCCTTTTGTTGTTTTGTTTAAAGTTTAGATAAAGTTTGCCGAGGAGTTCAAATAACGTTCCAAAAAAGTTCAAAACCAACGGCGCCGATTCTGACCCCCTCACCAGTTCGCCCTCGCGGCGCCCATTCCCCGGGACACCCGCCACGCGCACCCAGGGTCCACGCTTACGCTGCGATGAAACTCACCGATCTGGCGAAAGCGTCGCGGGCCTTGCGCTTCAAGCCAAAAGCCCTAAGCCCTTGACCTCTTGCCCTACGTATAAAACGTTGAATTTCTAAGCCCTCTGCCCAAAACCCTACACCGTAGACCTTTGGCCCTACACTAAGCACTAAGCCTCAAGGCCTAGCGCCGAGGCCATTGGGCGCAAGCCCGACGGCGTAAACCTGAGCCACGACGCCTGAAGCCCGAGGCAGTAGGGCCAAGTCCCTGAAGCCCAAACCACACCCAGGGCCCCAAGCCGCTGAACCCTGGACGCCGCGCCTCAGCCCCCAGAACCTAGACCCTGGGCCCACGGCTCGGAGCCTTCGGACCCATGGCCTGGGTCCATGGGCCAAGGCCCAAATTCCTTGGCTGTGGCATCGATGCCTTACGCCAGAGGCTGCAGGCCTGGGGTCCTGGGGCCCAAGCCAAACCTGAGACCCCTGGCCGCCCTGGCCCCTGGGCCCTAGGCGCCGGGCCCCAGACCCTATGCCCTATGCCCGAAGTCCACGCCCCAAAATAAGGTGCGCGGCACAGGGCCGGGGCCCTGCCGCACGCCGCGGGAATCACACTCCCCCGCGGGACCCCGCCCCCCAAAAAGGCAACCGCGAAAGGCCCCCCGCCGGCGGGGCTTTGACATTCCGCGGCGAAATCCGGAGACCCTCCGGGAACCAGTAAAGTTTACCACCGCTGTTCAAAACGAACTTCAGAAAAAAGTTCGAGAGAAGTTCAAACAAAAAACCAAGAACAAGTTCAAACAAATTTAGGAAAAAAACAAAATTCAAAACAAGTTCAAACAAGTTCCAATCGAGCTTAAAAAAAGTTCAAAGTTCAAAAAAAGTTCCCAAAAAGTTCAAAAAAAGTTCAAAGTTCAAAAGTTCAAAACAACAAAAAAATCAAACAAAGTTCAAACAAAATACCAGACAAAAACACCATAAAAATTAAAGAAACAACGGAGTTCCAAAAAAGTTCAAACAAAGTTCACAAACAACAAAAAAAACAAAAAGTTTCCGCTTCCGGAAAGCCCAAAAAACAGCTGGGGCAGATTCGCCGTACCCGGGGGGGTTCTCGCGGGGCGCTCCCATTGCCCGGGGCGTCCCCGGACGCCAGGGTCCCTGGCGGCGCCTCGCAGGGCGCCTTCCGGAAATGGCAATGTGCGTTCCAATGTCTGAGGTCGACGGTCTAGGGTCCCTAGGGTTTACCGCCTCGGGTCTAGGGCCTAGGGTCCTATGGCCTGGGGTCTAGGGTATATGGTCTAAGGTCTAGGGCATAGGGTCTAAGGTCTAGAAGGTCTCGGGTCCAGTGTCTAAAGCTTTAGGGCCTGGGGCCTCGAATCTCAGTCCAAAGGTCTGGGGTCTCGGGCATCGAGTCTAGGGTCGATGGGCCTCGGGACTAGGGTCGACGGGAGGCGCGTGCGAGGAACGAGGAGCGTGGACCTTTTTTCTTCAGGAAAAACCTAACCTATATATATATATATATATATATATACATATATATAGGGGGGGGGCTCCAGGCTGCAACTCGGACGGGCGTTGGCGGACGACGGGAAGCGTCTTCGAGGTGCGAGGAGACGAGCTGGACGTTTTCGCTGAATCCGCCTCGTATCTGTAAGAAATCATTAACTATAGGGTGGCGCGCTGGGGCCTTGGGTGGAGGTCCATATGGGGCCACGAAACGCGTGGGATCTGCGATGTAACAAAACTCATATGATTTCTCTACCACTCCACTCAAAAACAAACATATTCAATGATTTTCTAATGCAAACAAAAATGAAATGGTATCATTTGAAAATTCTGAATGAAATAAGATAATTTTCTTAATTGACAGGCATAAATACAAGAACTTATACACTTATATAAATGCTTGTTCCATATGAATTGCATAATTTCGTTGCTATGGCATTGCTTGTGTAGAACAGAATTTGAATCCATAAAAAATAAAAATAAAAACCCGGAACTTTCCCGGAACTTAACGGAACTTTTTCGAACTTCTCGAGAAAATCCCCAGGGGGGCCCCTTTGCCTTGGAGCAGCATTACAACGATAGTGGGGGCTGGCCCAGAGGGCGGGGGGTGGGGGCGGGGGGGGAAACATCAACCTTACATGGGCGTAGGCCCCGATAGCGAATCCGCACGGTCCCGGGCGGGGTTGGCTATCAGGCCCCTTATCGGCGATCAATCGGTGATTGGGAATCCTTGCCGCCCCCCGCCCCCCTAAGTCGGAGGAGGAGGAGGGGATGGAGGTCCGAAGACAGCTCGAGGCCGGCCCGCTGGCATCTTCGAGCGAGGCTCGGTTCGGGTTCGCTCTGCGGCGGCGGTCGGCGGACCTGTGCACACCTGACACGCAGGACCCCAGCCCAACGGTGGACGAGTACCGGAGCTGCGGGAGGGACGGAGGGACGGAGGATGAGGATGAGGATGAGGATGAGGATGAGGATGAGGAGGAGGAGGAGGAGGAGGAGGATAGAGGAATGGAGGGCAGGAGGGAGGGAGGGACGCGGGGACGGAGGGACGGAGGGAGGAGGGGAGGGAGGCGTAAGGGGGGGGGGGGGGGGGGGGGGGGGGGGAGAAGAAGTCCTCCTCGCGTGCCGGCCACGGCGGCAAGGAGCCCGGGCCACCCCATTGCCTGCGCGCAGCCCCCCACACACACACACCCGGCGGGAGCAGAGAGCAGCCGCAGAGAGCCACGGGCTGGGCAGGCGGGCGGGCGGGGAGCGGCCCCATCCCCCCCCTACAGTGCGGGCGCGGCCGCAAGAAACCCTCGCAAGAAACCCAACCTGCTCCTCCTCCTCCTCCTCCTCCTCCTCCTCCTCCTCCTCCTCCTCCTCCTCCTCCTCCTCCTCCTCCTCCCCCTCCTCCTCCTCCTCCTCCTCCTCCTCGACGTCGTCGATGCATCGCCGATGCCTCGAGCCAGGGCGCCAGGCCCCAGCCCAGGGGCGCCTGGCGCCCTCGGGGGGGCCGCCGCCCCCCCCTCGGGGAGGAGAACCCATGCGCGAGGTGCACCTGAAGGGGAACCTGGAGCACCCTGAACGCAGCAGCGCCTCCACTGGCTGCGGGGAAGCCACCGCGCAGCGCGAGGAGCGAAGAAGCCCAGGGCACCCTGACGAAAAGCACATAGGGTTTCTCGATGCGCGCCCCCACTGCAGGTGGTGTGGCGCCGCTTGGCTTCTGGTGTCGAACGTGTCCCCTACAGGCCGGCCTTCGAGGAAGAGTTGAACATAGTCAAACAAATATTCATTCAAACATCGTCAATGATGCTCCAAATATGTTCCCCCCAGACTATGTTTGTACTACTTTTGAATATCCCGCCTGTAGAGGGACAGGCCCGACTTAAAAGAAGAAGGAAGGCACCAGCTGGAAGCGACAAAGCTCCGTCCGTGAGCAACTCATGCGCGACCGTGCTGTCGCCTGCCACCGTCCCGTCGGGGCAGGTCGCGTCCCCAACGGGCCCGCCCCCAGGGCAATGGCACTCCCGCTGGACGCTCAAATCCCATCGAGCGGGCGATTCGCCAAAGGAAAGAGGGAGGAAAGGAGGGGGAACCACCCTTCGGGGCCCCAAGGTCGCTTGGTGACCGGAAGCGCGGTGACCCCAGAATCTCCAACGACCTCTCCGCGCGGTCCGCCACCGCATGGCTCTGGGACCGCGGAAGCCCCAGCCGCTCGAGACATCCTCAGAGAGCGACCCGGGGCCCGAAAACACTTGGAGCCATCCCCAAAATGCCACCCCTCACGCGACGACGCCGGAGGCGGGGAGGCCACTGCCCGCCCGCGGGCGCGCGCGCCCCCGAGGCCGCGGCGGTCGTGGCCGCCATCAGGACATACTGGAAGAAGCCCGCCTGCAGCCTGCGGTCCCCCCGCCTGCCCCCCCCTCCTCTTCCCCCATCCTTCCGCCTCCCCTCCTCCTCCTCCTCCTCCTCCTCCTCCTCCTCCTCCTCCTCCTC